TGTCTGAGAGCAGCAGCAGGTTTGAGCTGGATTCAAGTTATTTGCTGCCCACAGATTCAATCCGTGCCTGGTATTTTCTAGTATTTTCATTAACAGAAATAGATCTGAAAGTTCTTAAGAGTTTAGGCGTGTTCAGATCTGGAGTTTACAGAACCTCTGAGCCCCCATTCTTAAAAACATCTCTGACTCCAGAGAAACCTAGAGTTATAATGGTAGGATGTGATGTGAAGAGACTACAATTATATATAATTATTGTCACATTGTGACAGTCTGTCATTTTTATGACGATGTTTAGAATCATGTAGTAGTTTCCTCTACTCTTGGTGGTGAAACTTAGCACCAAGAAAGAGCTGCCAGCAGTCATGAAACTTTTACTGCCCAACCCATACAATGTTTCAGCAAGAAGCTTTAATTATCTACAGGCCAGAAAGGTTCCTGATATAGAACAAATTTTTTAAAAATCGTATCTTGGATTTGTTAAACTCTGGCTGGAGACAGAGACCAACTGTCCAAACCCCTTTAAAAGCTGGGACAGTTCAGATGTGAATCCAAACATTGTTACTGGGACCTTGTATTATAATGAACCCAAACCCCTTTAAATATTAGGAACGTCTGAATTTTGCAGCTTGGGTCCACCCCCACTCTAGATGAGCCTCATTCAGAAGACTGGCTTGTACTTTTCGTAAGGATTCTTTAGCTTCTTGTTTTTTAGTGACCACTGACGTACAATAGTGAGTAAGGCAAAATAGGCCCAGGCTGACCAAACTTGAAGGCCCTATATACAGCAGCTTCTTCCCAACCAAGCCACCTGGGGAGAATCTCCCTCCTCCCCAGATGGACTCTTGTCTTCCTCTCATGCCTGAGTCCTGATCTTTCCCCCAATGAGACAGCCCATCCCATGCCAGCAGGCAGGCAGGCAGGCAGGCAGCCAGCAGCAGTCACTGCGTGCCTCTGACTCACTGTTCTGTCTAAGCCCCCTTTGACCTTGAAACCCAGATCCTAAAGATCCAAGTATGTTCCCCTGCTAAAACCAGCTCTGATCCACATGCTTTTGCAAACTGCCAAACTCAGATTTGCTTTGCTTTTCAATTCTCTTGTATTAAGTAACTTTGACCACTTTAAAAAAAAAATTGGACTAGAGAGAACCAGAAATCTAAACACACACATACTCCTCAGGAGAGAAAACCGTCCAGCTCTGAACTAGCATTGTAAGCAGTAATTAGTCACAGACATGCCAAAGGCCTTTGATCTATCCATATAAAACACGGACATGAGACTCTTTTATGCACCCAAACCAATTCCAGAAAGGGGAAGGGGGATGCCCAAGGAAGAGCTCTGTGGTTTCCATAGAAAACCCTCATCCTGTTACAAATTGTACCAAACGCTCCTCTGTGCTATTGGCCCCATGAGAGGGCTCATTACAGATTCTGCCAGTCTGGAAACATCATAGGAGGCAGGTACCAGGAACCAATAAATAATATACACAGGGGGGAAAAACCAAGGAATTCATATATATTGTATGGGAGTTCAAGTGAAGCTTTGCTATACAGTGTAAATCTAATTACAGGCCTGGATCCTGTTCCATCCTTACCTCATTGCTGCCAGGAGCCATGCACCTGGAGTTAGAAGTAAAGTTTTTCATATGCCTAAAAAGCTGGATCTCTACACCCAGTGGGCCACATTCAGCGTTGAGAGTGACTTCAGTGGGAGCTGTGCCTGTTTACACACAGACTGAATTTGGTCCACTGGTTTTCAGATGCTAAACTATATAGAATAACAGTGATTAACATGTATGTAATATTTTTTCATTCTAGAATCCCAGTGGGTTGTACCAAGTTGGACAAGAATCATCCTGTTTTATGATGGGAAACTGAGGAATAGAGACATTAAATGAGTTGCTCAGAGTGACACAGTGAGTCATTGGCAGAACAGAAAATGGAAGGTTTTACAACTCCCAATCTGGTGCCCGGTTTGCCACCCTGCCCTGCCTGCCCCTTAAAGCCGGCATTCCTGATATACTGTCGTGACTTTGCAAAAGGGAGTTTGCTTGGAGTATTTTTCCCTGGTAACACAAAGGAACCACAAATGCACTTAGCCTTTACCAATGACATCAAGGGAGCAGAATTAGGCCATTGCTGCGTGCTTTTCAAATTCCACCCCCATTTTTTAAAAAATGATCATTGTTAGCTTATAGTTTGCATTTATTTCTATCACATGGGTACTGCTAAAAAGAAGGAGCACTGGACATACAGGAGACTTGTGTTCAGAAGCAACCTTTGCACTTTGGTTTTCTGGGCCGGAAGAGACGGGAAGTAGCTATGTTGTGGCCTATTCTGTGTGTGGGGATCAAGAGCTGCTGACTAGTGTATTAATATTATTATTTATGTGTATTACCGGAGTGCCCAGGAGCCTAGTTATGGACCAGGACCCCATTGTGCCAGGCGCTGTCCATGGGGAGGGTTCCCTGGTGAGCAAAGTCTGGTGTCAGATAATATAGTTTTTCATATGCCTAAACTCCCTCTCAGCATGTGTGTGTGTGTGTGTGTGTGTGTGTGTGTGTGTGTGTGTGTGTGTGTGTGTGTGTGTGTGTGTGTGTGT